ATGATTTTACCTTTGAACGTTTTTATTTAACACAAATCAAAACCAATGTGTCATTTTAACTGCAGTAAACACATTTAAGTAAAAGTTGTCTGATGAAAAAAGGAGCATTAGACACAACTAACAAAGAAATAGGCTCCGATCATTTCCACTCCAGTTTGTCATCAACTCTAGTTAAATACTGTCTATTCATCCTTGTAATGGATCAATAGTGAACAATATTTTAACTTCCTGACACCATTTTCAAAACTTGGACCTGAGTGTCGAGTCATTTGGAGACATCTCTCGTCTCCTGTTCTAACATCCCATGAACTGACACATTTTAATATTGCAGCAAGAATTTCTTGTTCAAATTCAGAAGAAGTTGGTTTTCAAAGATTTTTAAGTCCAGTCTGGCTCGTTTGGGAGAGAGAATCTGTCCTGTTGTACTGAACAGTCTTTCAGTAGTCTTTCAATAGTCTTTCAATAGTCTTTCAATAGTCTTTCAATAAGGCCATAGGTGGCACGTACTGTATCTTCTGGCTGACTTTCCTCAGTGTAATATATTTTGGGTGTGTTAGCAGTGCTGTGGGTGCGACCAGCTCAGTGATGTATATACTAGAATATAGCTCTTCTTGAAAGTAGATCTAACGTTACCTGCCCACTTTGCATTGATTCAATGGACCAACTCCCCTCTCGCCATTGGTTTTTTTCAAATTAATGAACAAATAAAAAAAGTTGCAACTTGAATGTAACTTGTAACACAACGCATTATAGAAATGTAGTGTATTAGAAAGTACAGATACTTAATGTAAAATGTAGTGAAGTAAAAGTAAAAAGTACCCATGTTTAATTCTACTTAAGTAAAGTACAGAAAAATGAAAAGTGTACATAAGTACAATAATGAAGTACTTGTATTTAGTTACATCCCACCACTGCTTGGCACTTACAGTGAACTGAACTGAACTGAATTGAATACAATCTTCTGCTTCAACATTACAGCACCACAGTCAGATCTAGTATAGTTACAACAGCATTTTGGGAAACTCTTTAGTGTTAATGTGTGACTGAAGACATTTCTTGAAATGATGCCATGTTTCCCATCATTTTCACACAAAACTGTTTCTGTGTGGACAGGGCCATAGTTATTTGTATATGACCAAAGGGTTCATAGCCTCAGAAATTAACATTAAAGAAGTTTTCATTTGTTTGTCCACCACATTCAACATAAATATATCAGCACCTACTTAGTGATTGGATTAAGTTTTGCACATGACTTACCTTTCCTAAATTTATAAATCTTGCTCCCTTTGGACATGAAAGTAAAATGAATGTTACTCTGGGTTAAGACTGAATCATTTATTCTGCCATAGTAACACATTTAGCCATCTAGTTTCAAAACCTATGAGGTAACTTCTTCAGTATGAGTCACTATCCATCTGTTTTATAAAGCATCCTGCAGTTAATTTAGCTGCATCTGGGTAACTCTAAGCCAAGAGTATCGTATGTTTCTTCAGATATTAGAAGTCATTCCGCTGTATTTGTCTTATCATATCAACACTAGTCATGCAGTGAAAGTTATGACACATGCTTGGAGCATCTTGGGTCAAAAACCTTTCTAAGCCTTCGTAATACTTTGCTTCCTGTTTTTATTAAACAAGAGCCATCGGTTGGAAGAAATCTTTTCCAGAAATCAGCCCAAATGTTTCAGGGCATGAATGTTTTAAACTGAATGTGTCACTCAAATGACAACATTCATGCCCTGAAACATTTGGGCTGATTTCTCCACAGTATTCTAATTTTTTGAATTCCTGTTCTTGTGGGTTTCATGAGCTGGAAGCCCAAATTTTGTAAAAATGAACAAATAAATACTTGAAATTGTTTAAATTGTGGGCCCTGAATCTATCATCTATTAAAGATTAACTTTTTGAATGGAATTATGGAAGTTAAACAACTTTTCCATGATATCCTAATGTTTTGGAAAGGGTCTGTGTTGATACACATTTTTTTTAACCACAATGTATATGTGAGGTACTATGGGGTGCCGTTTGTAAAGTTGCACAGTCAAAAGTTAACATCAATATTTTGGTTTATTTATTAGCTTGTAAAAAGATTTTGTTTTTAAGTCATCCATCCATTATCTTTACCCGCTTCTTCCATTTTGGGTCACGGGGGTCGCCAGTGTCCATGTCCAGGAATCTATAAATGTCATTGTTCCCAACTAAATATTTAAGTTACAAGATAAATATTTAGCATACAAACTAAATACTTAACATGCAAGTTAAATATGTAGTTAGTAAGCTAAATATTTGGGTATAAATTAAATATTTAATTAGTAAATGGGTTGTCTGACAATATTTAATTAAATAGAAGAAATAGAAGAATTAAATAGATATTTAATTAAATATTTAATTTGCACCTAAATATTTAGTGTACTAACTAAATATTTAATTTCTAAGCTAATCATTTAATTCCTAAACTAAATATTTAATTTGCTAACTAAATATTTAGCTTGGATCTAAATATATATTTTACAAATTAAACATTTAATTTAAATTTAATTTAATTTATTTAACTTGCTGGTTAAATATTTAGGTCTGAGCTAAATATTTAATTAGCAAATTAAATATTTAGTTTAGGAATTAAATGTTTAGCTTAGAAATTAAATATTTAGTTAATAAACTAAATATTAAGTGTAAATTAAAAAAAAAATATATACCAAAATATTTAGTTTACTAACTAAATATTTAGGTATAAATTAAATAATTTAATTTACACTTAAATATTTAGTTTACTAACTTGCAAGCTAAGTGTTTAGTGTGCAAACTAAATATTTATCTTGTAAATTAAATATTTAGTTGGGAACTATGACATTTATAAATGTATGAATTACATGGTGAAAATATGACTTTGAAGGGAAAAAAAACTATTTTTTCTTTTTAAAAGCTAAATAAACCAAAATATTGATGTTAATTTTTGGCTTTTCAACTTTACAAATGGCACCTCATAAGGTACGTTGTATATGCAATGTTTCAAAAATACTGCATTCCTACTACAACATTTCTGGACATAATGGATAAATTTGTGGCAATATGGTGTTGCTGGAGATCATGCTATCTATACTAGGATATCAGATACGAAGAGGTGCTGTTTTTGATTATTTTCATTGCAGAAAGCACAGCTTACATAGCAAAATAGCTGGAATAGTATAAAGGAGCATATGTGCCAAGTAAGGACCAGAGATCCCACACAGTATGAGACACTAACGGTGGTGGAGAATGGCAAGACTCAGACATTGTGGGCCTCCCAGTTTAGACTGACAAACAGGTGATGATTAACATTGTTGTGGTTGACAAACTACAAAAGGAGGCAAGCGATAGATGTCATAGTTCCAAGTGACTGTGAGATTAGGAACATGTGATGCTATAATTCAAACAACGTTCAATACAAAAACAACTGGACTTTATGATTGTATGATTATTATTATGATTATATTGTTTTTGTATTGAACATTTTTTGAATTCATCAAGTCCTGGATGACTGAGAATCTTCACCAGCATGTGATGCTATAGAAATACCAAGGGCTATAAAAGGTATTAGAGAAGTAAGGTAAAGTCAATGTGTCTGTGGTGCCAGTGGTCATCGGAGCACAGGTCTGTGACCCCCAAACTGGGAGACTGGTTCCAACAGATCCCAAGACCAACTTAAGAGACCTCTGTCCAGAAAAGCACAGTCCAAGGATTGATTCTGCACAGAACCCTTAAACTCCCAGACCCGTTAGAAGAGTTGGTGAAAGTGCGATCACCCATGTTGAAAAAGAAAGCAAGCTCAGAGTTTAGTTTTAGCTTATTACAAGTGACTTCAATCTATTTTGGTAAAAGCTGAGAAAAGAACAAATTGGTCACGTTTCTAAACAATTATTACTCTAGCTGGATCAACGCTAACAAAATAACTACCCTCCCTTAGGGAGTAAATGTTTGGACTAAAGTGCAATAAGCCTTTTTTTAGTACAGTTTCTACAATCCGTCCCTCTCCAAACGTCCCTGCTGTCTAAAACAACAGAAGGTATTCATGTGGAAAACTTTAAGGCTGTATCGCATTCCTTTTCTAATAGCCACTGGTAACGACAGACGGTCTCAAAGCATGACTGTGATGTTTTCAGGAACATCAAACAGATGATTTCACAGCTGCCAGGTGCTCTCCCAAAGCCCAGAGTACGTTTTCATTTTGGAAGTGAACAGGAAAATGACTGTTCCAGTAACAAAAAGGAAACATGGCCCAGCTTGTCCACCGGAATAAGAACAGTTGCTTTTTTGTCATTTTCTGTCGCAGGTGTAGGCCAGAGCACAGATACAATATCAGGGCTACCTTTACTGTTAGTAAGCTAGTAAAAAAACATCTTAAAACTAAAGAACCGACTTGTGAACATCACCCATACAACTACCTATTCACCTGGTGACATAGCGGCTGGGACGAGTTTAAAATTAGAGTTAATTACAGAGGACTTAAAATATTCCTGCCGCTCACCTCAAACAGATTTTCTTCAAGTGTCATCATGTTTCAAACACAGCAAAGCTGGGATTAAAACACCATACGCAAAAAGAAACATGAGTTGTAGCATAAAAACTAAATGTTATTGTTGAATTATGATTAATTGGAATCATCCATCGCTTGAAATAATTCCATTGAGTTTATTTATATAGCACCAAGTCACAACAGACGTTGTCTCAGAGCACTTTACAGAAACATTCACATAAAAAGACAATTAATAAAAGTTCTCTATCTAAGGAAGCCAGCAGATTGCACTGATTCTTCACTTGGTCACAGTCTCCTATCCTGAGCAAGCACAAAGGAAACTGTAGAAAGGAAAAACTCATTTTAAACAGGAAGAAACCTCCAGCAGAACCAGGCCGAGGACGAGCGGCCATCTGCTTCGACCGTTAAGTAAATAAATAATGTAACAGCATGAATAAAACTCATTAAAAAACAATGACATCTAGAAGGATGGTAGAATTGTGTCTTACCTCACTAAGTCTGCAGCATTTGTCCATGTAGTCCTTCAGACTATCACTGGAGGAGCTCTGTCTGAGAGCCTCTGTCTTTACATCACTGTCCGTCATAGCTTCACATGTTCCCGTCGAAGATTCCTCTACAAGCTTCATATTCTCAGAACAACTCCTTTCAATTAAACAACCAGCTTCTTTCAATTGTTCCAATTTCTCTCCATTATCTCTTTCAGAGTTGATTCCTGAAGTCCGGCTTTGGTCCATGTCATCACCTAGATACATTTCCACCACCGCCTCTTTTGGTTTGAACACATTGTCTTGAGTATCTACCAATGTACACAAACACTCGTCTAAGTTTTTTGACTCCTTAACCTCAGAGTTCTGTGAATTTCTAACTAGTTTATGAGGAGAAGAAGTAGGGTCTGATCTCAGGTTGCAAGAATCACAGGAGGACCCTCTACTGTGGACCACAAAGCTCTGCTCCGAGCCAGTCGGAGTCGATGGAGAGTTAGTTCCACTGGGTAGTTCCACTCCAGAGTCCTCTGATTCAAACTTGTACAACCTCGGCAGCTGAGAGCCTGAGAAAATACCAGACAGGTAGTCTGATCCGGCCTCTGCCTGAGGGTGCTGGGACTTTTCTTTGAGGTGGGAATTTGCTTCAGAGGTTGTTGTGGGGTCCATGATGTCCTGATCAGGAACTGACACTGATGAGATTGTGGAGATGGTGTCATCCCCCATGGGGAGCTTTGCCCGGAAGTTATTAAAAAGCTTCATTTTGGTCAGAACAACCTCGTTGTTTAATACTGCATCCCTGTCTCCTTTTCCTGTTAAAGAGAGAAAGAAAGATGCTTTCATTCTAGCAACCCCACTTCAATAAATTACTGAATAATACTGAAAATGTTTTTTTACTTGTTTATTGGTAGAGCATCATAAATTACAAAACTACTACAAATCACTGCAAAACTTTTATTAATTTTGTTTGAATTGATGCCACTCTGCTTTGCATGTACATGGAATTTGTGTTTGGGGCGGCTGTGGCTGAGTGGTTAGAGCAGTCGTCCTCCAATGGAAGAGTTGGGGGTTCGATTCCACCAGCAGTCACATGCTGAAGTGTCCCTGGGCAAGACACTGAGCCAATCATTGCCTCCAATGTGTGTCCCATCAGTGTATGAATGTGATATAAAGCTCTGATTAATCTATACAGATTCAGATTATCTTTGTATAGATCTAGTATAGAGCTGTATGAATGGGTAAATGAGGCACAGATTGTGTTGTAAAGAGCTTTGTGTCACGGTCAGCGGCCCCCGCTGCCCCCCTCATCTGCCAAGCCTCT